CACACACACACACAAACACATTATTATGCACATGCATACTCTCTGTCTTACTCTTAAATTTAGGAACTGAACAATGTGACCATTTTATCGTATTTCCGAACTCAAAGCGTGCCACATGCCACTTTTTCCCAGTAGGCTCGTATAATAATTATACTCGCTTTAATCTTTTCTTTTACTTTTACTGACTGCTGTCTACTGTCTAGTCAACTGTTTCTTAAAAGAAAAGCACTATTCCCAGTGTCACTGGGAATAGGCCCAGAAACCACTGGCAATAGGGCCTAGGGCAGAATTGTTCCCAGTGTCACTAGGAATAGGCCCAGAAACCACTGGCAATAGGGCCTAGGGCAGACTTGTTCCCAGTGTCACTGGGAATAGGCCCAGAAACCACTGGCAATAGGGCCTAGGGCAGAATTGTTCCCAGTGTCACTAGGAATAGGCCCAGAAACCACTGGCAATAGGGCCTAGGGCAGACTTGTTCCCAGTGTCACTGGGAATAGGCCCAGAAACCACTGGCAATAGGGCCTAGGGCAGAATTGTTCCCAGTGTCACTGGGAATAGGCTCAGAAACCACTGGCAATAGGGCCTAGGGCAGAATTGTTCCCAGTGTCACTGGGAATAGGCCCAGAAACTATTCCCAGTGACACTGAGAGCAGACAGGCCCATTAGATCTATTGTTCCCACACTGATCTACATGGGCATGATGCCGATGGGTTACTAAATACTAAACTAAATCTAATGCAGATCTAGATCTAGATTCTAGATTTAACTAAACTAAAGCAGATTCTGGTGTGAATGGAATATTGCTTTTAAAGAAAAAGGAATGATCATTCTATGCTTGCTTGTTTTTCAGTCGTAATTTAAATGTACGTGTAGATCTAGATCTGTATACGGATTTTGAGACCACGGTACAGGACAGGTAGAAATCCTTCCCCTTTCTTCTTTCTTCTAGAATATAGATCTATTCTACGGTCAAGTCTAAGCCCTAAGTAAGAGAAGAGAACAAACGTACGTAGGCTGAACTGAAGTGAGAAGAGAGTCTAACTACAATGCAAAGACTTCTGATTTTTTTTAATGCAAAAGAGATCCGTTGTCACTGGGAATAGTTTCTGTACCTATCCCCAGTGTCACTGGGAATAGTCACCTCGTTCTTAAAATTCCAGTGCTACTATGAGCGAAAGTGAACGATCAGCATGGCATTGATGTTCGTGAGTGCAAAAAGGTCAACTCGATGGCTCGGCTACAGGTAGATCTAGATCTAGATCTGTAGTAAGTTGCTGGTGCTGCACTTTTTGCTGCTATTGTTTGCTTCTGCTGCAGTTGCTGCTGTTGTTTACTGCTGTTGTTTGCTACTGCTGCAGTTGCTGCTGTTGTTTGCTACTGCTGCAGTTGCTGCTGTTGTTTGCTACTGCTGCAGTTGCTGCTGTTGTTTGCTACTT